TCATCATCATCATCATCATCATCATCATCATCATCATCATCATCGATACCACCCCCCCCACCACCCCACCGCCACCCTCAATCACAATCATCATTATTCACTTCTTATTCCTCATCTTCATTAGCAAATTTGAGTCACATTTTAGTGTGAAATGAGAATCATCTCAGTTTCTTCGAGAATTAGGCACCAGTGGAACAGAAAACAACCATGTTGCAATAAGAGGAAGGAGAGCACATCCGTGCAGAGGTCCTGTTTGGAACGGCCTACCCTAGATCAACAGCAGATGTCACCAAAGGACCTTAAGATCAGCTAAGAGACTTGGTGCTGTTGTTATTAGAGCCCGATTTCTGCTTCATCTCCCAAAGACTCTTCTGGTATGAAGTTCTGGTTAAGAACACAGTCTCAGGTGTGTAGCTGGGCATAGTGTGTGAACAAGTCATACTTTTTGAGGTTATTGTGAATGGGAGTTTGTTCAATGATAACTTTCTCAGCTTGTTGGTATATAGAAAAGCTACTGGCTTTTTCTTTCTTGTCTTTCTTTCTTTCTTTCTTTCTTTCTTTCTTTCTTTCTTTCTTTCTTTCTTTCTTTCTTCTTTCTTTCTTTTTCTTTTTTTGACTACTGGTTTTTCTAAGTTGATTTTGTTGGCCATTCCTAGAAATTTTCTGGTGAACTTTTGGGATCTCATATATATATATATCATCAGTAAATGGGAGTAATTTGATTTCTTTTCCTGTTTGTATCCCTTTAATGTCTGACATCAAGAGATGCTCTGGGCTAAGTTTCTGTGCTGTACATAGTCTTTCGGTGTTCATCCCTGGCTTTAGGGAAGATGTGTTTCCATAACTGTGTTCTTAGCTCTCTGGGGCTGGGTAGTATATACTATTCTGTATGTCATCAAGCATCAGTCTTATTGATGAAAATAGTCAGCTCTTGAGTTACCAGGTCTGAAAGTCTGTGACTTTTGCAAGAGAACTTTTAATTTCAATTATAGGCTCACAGGGTAGTGAAAAAATGGTACAAAGAGTGCTTTATGAATGTATGCTCTTTCTTCCACAGAGCTACATTGAATATAGCTGTGACGTAATCAAATGAGGGAGTTAGCACTGGCCTGTCACTGTTAACTAAACTGTAGACCTAATACCATTTTCACTTGCTTTAAATAGCCTTTGTGTCTCTGTGTGCTTGCATATGCATGCATACAATCACTATTGGTTTGTTTTCTCTCCCATTTAGATTGTTTTAGTCAATCATCTGAATCTAAGCAGCATAGAATGAATACTATTCTTTATTTCCATATTCTGCCCCAACCCTCTTATCTCCTCCAACTAAAAACTTATTCTCCACCTCCACAGTGTTGCTGTCTCAAAAATTTTATATAAATGAAATTGCATCATATGTAATCTTTCAAAGCAGACCTTTTTTGTTAATACAATAATCTTGAGGCCTGCCTAGATTCTTGTATGTATCAGTAGTTATTTCTTTTCATTTCTGGGTAGTATTCCATTGTATGAAATAAAATTGCTAAGGGTATTTGTGTACCGGCATTTTATGAATGTTGTTCCCCCACCACCCCCAGGACTAAGGTTTAGGAGAAGACAGGGCTCTGTGTGCCTGTTCCCTGAGCAGTTTCTGATCACTTCTTGACTCTAGGTCTCTGTAGTAAGCTCCCTGGAGAGGCCCATGAAGATGAGATTGTGAGTGGATGTGAAGTCCCCAGGGTCTCAAGTCCTCGGCATTTCTAAACTGATAAGTAATTCTGTATCTGTAGGATTTCATTAGAATGCCATCATAGGGGCTGGTTTCTCTGTGGACCACCCATGTGGGCATTAGGATTACTTGACTGTCTTGTGAATCCAGCTGGAGGGATGAGAAAAGAGGAAGATGTGCATTTGGAGCTTGTCCAACTCCTAAGTCACCAGATGAGGAACATGGCCCTTCAGCTCAGGGCACAGGCAGATGTCATCACTTCTGGGATGGGCAGAGAACCAAACAAACTTAAGTCTTGCTTCCCAGATATAAACAAAGGCCATTGCTCTACCTCTAGACTAGGTGCAAGAAGTCATACTGAACCCAGGAACCAATGCTAGTACCAAGCAAAGTCTTCTGACCACAGAGAAAGAAGCACAAAACAGCTGTGTAGATCAACCACAGGCACACTGCCTGGCCCAGCAACTTTGAAAAGAAATGCAGTTTCTGCAGAGTTCAGGACTGTCCACAGTTTTAGGCATCTGCCACAAGTTAGGAGTCAGTAACAGAGGTCTGAGCTGTGGAAACTAAATAACACACCCAGAAACAATGAACCTAATAAATTGGATGTTAAATTAGGAACTATTTAGAGATCAATGCAGATGGAACCACAGCATCCCGAAGCCATGGGACGCAATGGAAGCAGAGTTGAGAGGATTTTAACTATTCATGTGTATATTAGGGCACCTCCCCCATGGAATCTCAAATCAACAGTGTAACTGCAGGTTTGGGGTGACTAGGAATTGAAGAGCCAACTAGCACAGAGACAGAAATAATAGCATAGAGCAAAGATAAAGACACTATGAATAGAGAAAGGAAAAGGAAAGCTGTAGGAAACTGAAAACAAGCTTGTTTTGTTTTAAGGGTCCACAGACCTGATGGATCTCTAGCTAGTTGAAGGCGACGGTTGATCTTCATCGTCAACCTGACGGGGTTTGGAGTCACCTAGGAGACACATTTCTGGGCATGTCTGTGGAGGTGTCTCTAGAGAGGTTTGACTCACTGTGAATGTGAGCAGAACCATTCCAAGTACTGGCGTCCCAGACGGAACGAAACAGACAAAAGAGGTCAGCTGAGCACCAATTTCTCGTGCCTTTTGTTTGCTGGTCTCCCTAGGTTTGATAAGCACACACTGCTGTGACACCCTTCCACACTTCCACACTTCTGTGATGTTGTCTTCTAATTCTTTCTCTTCATCTTCCTAGTCGACTGACATTCCAACCATTTGTCTTCAGTGATATCTGTCCAACTTTTAAAGTGTTCGCTTTAACACACTGGTAATGCGTGGACTTCCTTGCCGTGAGTATGAACACAGCAAGTAGCCTAGATTGTGGGCAGCTACTTTGGAAGTACAGAACAGATGATGAAATGAATTAGAAGATAAAGATCTTGACCCTGTCTACCCTGTCTACCCCTTTGCTTTTATTCTTTGCAGTCTCTTGCTAGGCCAAAGCCCTTCACCAGTCCCTGCCCTACTGTCTGCCATGCATCGAGGTCCACTGAGGCTCCGGTCAACTTCAAGAAGGTGCTCACAGGGATGCAGTCAGTTCCTCCCTCACAGGGATGCTCCTGACGATCTCTTCACAGTTGATTTTGGCTCTAGTGAGTTTACCGTTTTGGTGGGAATAGGAAACTGGCTTAGAAAACAAACTATCCCAGTTAGGAAGACATATTTGAGAACGCAATACCTGAAGTCATCTTTTTGTTTGTTTGCTTTTTTGATACAGGGTCTCATTATGTAGCATTGACAGGCCTGAAACTTACTATGTAGAGCACTCTGGCCTCGAACTCGTGGAGATCCACCTGTCTTTGCCTCCCAGTGTTAGGGTTAAAGGTGTGCACTACCACACCCAATTGTAATAATTTTTGAGTTGTTATATGAAATGTAATTATAGATACATGCAATTGAGATTTCCTACATCCAGTGCCCCTTTACCTCTGTGGCGGGTCAGCAGTGAGCCTGCCAGCTTAGGAAATTCTGCAGACACTAAGTCTTTCGGAGAAATTTAGGATTACATGGTATACTCCCCTGCCAAGTGCCGACCAGCAAGGCCTCCTCTCCACTATGCTTATTGGGCAGCACCCAAGAGGCAGGGCGCTTTCCTGTTCGTCGACACAGCCGTTCTCACTCAACTGCTGTGGTTTCTAAGAGGAAGGAAAAGTTGGCTACACCCAAAGAAGTGGCAGCGGTTGCCTTTGTATTCAGGAAAAAGCGAGCATCTGTGGCAGTTAGCGTGGACACTGTGTACTGTGTTACAGCCAGGCCGTGCCTAACTGTGGCAGTTAGCATGGACACCGTGTACTGTGTTACAGCCAGGCCGTGCCTAATTGTGGCAGTTAGTGTGGACACCGTGTACTGTGCCGCGGCAGGCCAGCCCAATGCCTAATTACTAGAGTTTGGATTATAGTCTAGGAGTAAGTTGGCTGTGGACAGGTTCCTGTTCTGAACTGCAAACCCTACGGTTTATGTGCGAAAACTGCCCTGTTGTTCTGCAGAAAGCTTGGCAGTCCCTGCTGGAGCCAAGTCCAGGCTGGACTCCAACAGGCAGAATGAATGCACAGACCCTGTTTAGTGGGGTCAGCCAGAGGATGAGATACCTACCTCACATAGGAGAAATATTGGGCAATCAGTGACTGGAGAAAGCATAATTTTTTTTTTTTAACCTATGAACAAAGCGTAAGATCAGGAGTAGGGCAGAATTCTACTTTGCCCCTGTGGGAGGAGGGCCTTAATTGGCCTCCCCTCTGGTCACCTCTGTACATCCATGGCTGGAAAGTCAGTTTGAAGAAGACTGACCGGAAAGTCTTTTCAAAACTTGTAAAAGGGGGAAAAATGAGGAAAGGCTCTAGAGAGACTGTGCTCCGCGTGCGGGCCACAGAGCGAGAGGAGAAGGGCACAGAGAGATTCATTCTGGGCCGGGAGGGGCGGGGCCAGCGGGATAGCAAGGTTAGGCATGCTAACAGTTACATCCTGCCCCAGGCTGTGTTCTGTCATGTCTTCGTCTATTAAATTCAAGTTACTGGAAAATATCCAATAAAAGATGTAATATATGAGAGCACAGCACATGTTTGGCATGTTTGAGAGACTTGGAACTCATCTGGACCCAACATCTCCCTGTGTCTGAGCACAGGCCACTCACCAGGGCTTCAGAAGCGAAGACAAAGATGAGCCCTGGTGGCTGCATTACCATCTATGAAATCTATGAAATCACATCCTTAGCTGTTCACAAAGAGCTTCAATTACAGAGACCTGTTGAGTAGGACCAAAGTGTTTATTATTGGAGAACTTATGTAACAAAGGGGCCACAGTGCACCATGGCCTTATCTGGATACCACCGTGGCCGTCTCTGGACCTCTAGCCTGGACCATCGTGTAGCTTGTTTTAGTACAGGCACACCGATTCATCCATCGAGAGCGTCGAGTCTCTGAAGTCAGCAATATGAATTCTGGAGTCCTCCATTCCCTCCTCCAGGAGTTTCACCTTTCCCTGATGGTCCTCTGAGCAGTGTGAAAAACAACCAGAGATAGCCAGTTTAGGGCTGCGTTATATTTAATAAGACCAAGCTGTCAGATAGTCTCACGGAGCCATGAAATTCATGGGCAAGGCAAAGCAGTATGCCTAGGTCACCAGGCTGGTGTCTAGAGAACATGAAATGCACAGGAAAGAAAAACTGTTTAAAGGGGTCCCAGGTCCCAGGGCATATTCCAGATCTACCCTGAAAATTGTAATGAGTTCAGAACAGGGATCCCCATTTCCCTCTTCGATTAGGGGCCTGTACATTATGTAACTAGGCCTACTTTGGATCTTAACAGAACTAGGGGGTGATTCTCCAACTCCAAAGCCTGCTTCACGAAAACCCACACTTCTCAGAGCATTCCTAATATATTGTAACTCTAGAGTATCAAAATTTGAGCAGGTCAGTGTCAGTGGTGTCTTTTAAACTGCATTTCTCTATTTTTCTTTCATCTGAATGAGCCCCAAACACCTTGTCATAACCCATGTGACTGTTGTAACAGGAAACCACAAACTCCAATGTTTTTACATCCTCTCTCAAATCGCCCAGAAGCAACAAAGATAATGTGGGAAGGGAATCTTGGCTGAAACAGGAAGTGATGAATATGCCCAAATCTTGTTTTTAAAGGAAGGATTGACACTGAAGAGCTCAAATATATCTCTCCAGGAGCAGGACTAGGAATAAATAATAGGTAACAGGAACAAGTACTTCTAGAGGCCGACCTCCCTTTAACCTGTCTTTGGCATATGGAAGCCCAAGACAGGACTAAAAAAGAGAGTCTCTTGTTCAAAACAGTTCAGATTTTCAACACAAAAATGCCATGCTGCCACTAAGTCCCATTCCCTGGACAGCAATCTTGGGCATACCCAGATCATGCACTCCACAGAATAAAGCCTTGGAAGAACTGTAGGCCAGGTAAGCCCTTCGTTTCTGTAAGTGTATTCTAGGTCCACTTAGAATAGACAAGTTTCCTAGGTGAGAAGCAAGGGGATGGGATAGATCTGTTCCTAGGAACCGGGTTAGAGTCATCCTGAAGGTAACAGTCTTCTTTTGTGGCCTTGAGAAAGTTCTGGATTACCTACTTCATGAGGCTGTGCAAACTCTACAGTCCCTTCAAACACAGACAGCCCCAGAGCCTGAACTTGAGAGTGTTCTGGGTAATTGTTGATTGTATCAACTTAAAAATTTTATTACATTACTCTCTTCAAACAAAATGTTTCAGCAAAAGAATATTTTGCCATTGTCTGTTACCTTTTAGGTTTTCAACACTTTTTTTTTGTTAAAGCAGATGTTGCAGTTTGGGAAATACTGTCACAATATTTAAATCTTAATATATATCTGAGATTGTTAGAACAGCTGTGGACAGGGTTCACAAGGCTGTCACAGAAGTGTCAGAGCAAAAAAGCAGAGTCTAAAATAGGCAAACTATCATTCTGTTTCTTTCTGGGTGGTCCCCCAAGGTCAGACCTCTCTCCGATGACCAAGACCACAGTTTCTCAAAGCCCCATTCCCTTGATTTTTCTTCTATACAAAGCCTGTCCTTCCTTGACATCTGTCCCGGAGGGCAGACTCTCTTCTGCACTGCATAGGTGGTCTCTCAAGCAACTTTGTCACCACATTGTTTGGTGTACAGTGGCAGCTGGTGACAGAGCCATCTGCCAGGGAAGGAACAGTCTAAAGATCGACATGAACAGTGTCACATGCATATATGCAGAGGAGATAAGGGCCAGAGTAGAATTTCAGCCTCGATATTCTTCCTTTCATAAAATAAAGATGCAGCGCCTCCTGGGTCTCATGGCGTTGGCATCTTCAGAACATGGAGATAGCCGAGGTTTCGAAGTGGGACTCAGGAGTGTGCTATGTAGACACCACACACCTCAATGTTGAAACCCCCTTAGGTGGTGATTACAGACATCAGGCTACGTCAAGGAGGGCGAGGGAGGGACCTCCATCTGATCCCTGCTCTCTCTCTTCCTACTCTCATGGCCCCCATGGGTAACATTCACATGTGCTCATGACTGAGACCAAAGTTGAGTGAGAAAAATCAATATTCTGAAACATCTTTACATAGATCCTCCCCTGAAGTCTCTGGGGGAGCATCTCTCAGATAACCAGATCCCCTCCACCTTCGTGGTTCATGAGTATCCCCAAATCCCTGGTTTAGTTTTAGCCACAGTTCAGTCCTCATCTACCTTAGTTCTTGGCTCTGTGACCTCACTGGCCTTACTGCCATCATAAATGACACCATGTCGCCTTGGCACTTCAAATCCAAAGTCACGTGGTCTGAGAGTTTAGAGAACAGGTGTCATCATCCAGAGAATACAGTGAGGACAGGATGTAGATTCAACATCCCAAGTATTGGCACCTCCAAGCCCCTGCCCACAGCTTTTGGCATTCCAGGCTCCTGGTGTTTCCTAGAGTTACCTCGGCACTTTGGCTTCTTTCTGCATTGATGAATCAGCAAGAGGAGGAGACAAAAGAGGAAGCAAGGTCCCAGGCTGAAACCCAGGATACTTGTCACAAAGAAGATCCCAGGCCCAGGGTTTGAATGGACTTCTGGAAGGAACATATTTTGAATATGGGGATGACAAGGAGGATCCTGTCTCTACTGATGATGCCTGTGGGTATTCAGGGTGATGAAGTCACAGCTTCAGGCACAATGGGAGATTGTGAGAGCCTGGTAGCCTCCTTGAAGGAAACAGGTCACTGGGCCTTAGAAGGCTAAATTTGTTCCTGGCCCCTTCTCTGTCTGTGTTTCCTTGGTAACCATGAGACAAACAGCTTCCTGAGGCACATCCCCCATGCTCTTCATGCCTCTCCACAAGTGCAAACACAATGAGACCAGCTGGTTATGAGCTGAAGCTCCAGAATTCGCGAAACCAAACAAATCTCTCCTTAAGTCATTCATCTCAAGTATCCAGTCACACCCAGTAGGGCAGGCTCCCATTTCACCTAGTACTGAAATGTGTCTGCTCCAAACAAGCATTTTTGAAGGGATGTCTTTGCACCTCTCTCATACATCAAGCTTGCCAAAGCAAATCACAGAGAGCTACCACAGCAGAAGTGTTTTCTCTCACAGTTAAAGAGGCTAAGGGGCCTGAGGAGATGGCTCAGTGGATGAGAGTGTTCACACTGCAAGCGTGAAGACCGGATTTCTAATCCCCAGAACCCACATAAGGAGCTGGCACAGCTGCTCATGCCTTTGGCCCGAGCATTGGGAGGCAGGGACAGAGATTCTGAAAGTTTGCTGGACAGGCAGCCTGGCTGGAATTGGTGAGCTTCTGGTTCAGTGACAGAGCCTGTCTCAAGTCCATAGGACAGAGAACGATAGCCTTGGCATCTTACTCTGGCTTCCACATGTGTCCACAAAGCAGCAGTTGTAAACTTACAAGTGTGTATCCCCTGCCCCCACATCCCACACAGCCTCACACAGTCCTGAATCATGGTGTCAGTATGCCACATTCCCTCCTGATGTCTACAGAAGGATACTTCGTGCCTCTTTCCAGCTTCCAGCATTCCCAGTGCTGTCCAGCAATTCTGGGCTAGTTTTGGCTTATGGAAACATTATTCTGTGTCTGCCTCCATCTTCACACGGCATCTTCCTTTGTGCAGAACTTGCCTTCACACGGTGTTCCTCTCTCTAACTCTCCTCCCCTTGTAAGACTGTGATTCATTGGACGATAGTTTACCCTTATCTATTATGACCTCACTTTTTACAGCTATCAAGATGCTGTTTCCAAATGAGGCCACAATCTGTAGTTCCAGATGACAGGGATTTTCTGGGGCACATGATCAAACCTAATACATATTTTTGAGATGCCAATGAGTAATTGTCACTTACAGAACTTCAATCCCTAGGGCCGATGTCTCCACTAACCAGATCATTTCATTCTCACACCCTCTTCACCCTGATTGTCTCACCATGAAAGTAGCACAGGACTACATAGTGTAGCATAGCATAGCATAGCATAGCATAGCACAGCACAGCACAGCACAGCATAGCATAGCATAGCATAGCATAGCATAGCATAGCATAGCACAGCATAGTATAGCATAGCACAGGACTACATAGCATGGCATGGCATGGCATGGCATGGCATGGCATGGCATAGCATAGCATAGCATAGCACAGCACAGCACAGCATAGCGTAGCATAGCATAGCATGGCATGGCATGGCATGGCATGGCATGGCATGGCATAGCATAGCATAGCATAGCATAGCGTAGTGTAGCATAGGATAGGATAGGATAGCATAGCATAGCATAGCACAGCATAGCACAGCACAGCACAGAACAGCATAGCATAGCGACTCCTTGCCACTTCACTGAACTTTGCCCAGCCAGATGTTCTCATCCCAAGACAGGCTCAGCCTCCTTAGATAGCCAGAGTAGAAATATACACAGAAAGTACAAAAAACAAGGCACTCCTTTAGTCATCCATGAATACAGAAATCTTGGAAGCATCATAAATGACATAATCTAAGTGAATTATGTTCATATTTTCTTTTATCCCCAGTACAATTGGTACCAGGAGCCTTGGATCTGCAGCAATCCGTGCTTAGAGTGGATGTTCTCAGAAAGCTGTAACTGAGGTGACCGGATTCATCCTGAGTGTGAGCAATACTACTTCACAGGACAGGGTCCCAGACTTAATAAGAAGTGAAAAGGCAAAGGCTGGCTTAGCATGAGCATTTCCCTTCTCTACTTCCTGGTCGGCACTACTGACCAAGCTATTCCTTCTGCGTTACCTTCCCCACCTCGGTAGACTGTATTCCTCCAAACTGCGAGCCACAGCAAACCTCTCTCTAATGTTGCTCCTTCGTCAGGTGTTTGGTGTCCAGCGTGAGAAGAAAACAATACACACACAATGCACGAACGGTCCAGGACAGGCTGGGAACCAAAATTTTGAGCCCCAAGTAGTAGAGTCTCTGGATATTTTTAAGCACTTCACAGCTGTGCAAATGGAGGCACTAGGCCTTTGTATCCATGTTGGAAAGAGCCACCAGACGAGGACAGTCCCAAGCACATCCACACACACCATCCCCTATAGCAATTGGGTGTCTGTTTCACTACAGCGCCCTCTGATTTGCTTGCTTTGTGCTTTAAGGATCCATGACTTATTAAGCTCTGAGCGCGTACTCTTTTTGGATGTTTGCATGCTCCTTATACGTAGAAAACTTCCAACAGGAGTGTTAGCAGGACAAGCTGCAGGCACAGCCCTACATTTGGCACTTGGCCTCACAGCCTTTGCTCACTCCTTGCCTGCTCCATCACCTTCTACATTTTCCTCACACTCTGTGAGTGCCCTTGCTGGTCAAGGTGGTCCACCTGATGGGGTCACTTAGATTCCAAAACTCTGGTCACCATGTATACTTCTCAGGCTGTAGGAGTTGGACATTTATTAACAAAATGAGGGAAGGGAGGGTCACCAAATAGTTAGAGAAGGAGAGGAGAAACTGTGTGGGCCAAAAATAGTAACTAACTAACTAACTAACTTCTGAAGATGGAAGAGGAAGAAAAATATTCTTTAACTGAGGTAGAAAAACTCACTGGAAACCATGGAGACCAGAAGTAGGCAGCACAAACATTCACTGAGTGTTAAAAGAGTAGACATGCTAATTCAGATTAGAGGGAAGCTATCCTTTTGATATACAGAATAAATAGAGACACTTTCTGATGAGGGGAAATGGCAGAGCTGTGGTTAACAACCTGCCCTGACAGAGGGCTGAATGAAGTTATTCAAATGAGAGGGGATTGTCTTAGGGTCTCTATTACTGTGAAGAGACATCATGACCATGGCAACTCTTACAAAGGAAAAACATTTAATGACGGTTCATTATCATCATGGTGCAACCTGGTGGTGTGCAGGCAGACACAGTGCTGGAGAAATAGCCAAGTATCCTCCATCTTGACTGGCAAGCAACAGGAAGTGGTCTGAAACACTGGGTGGTGTCTTGAACATGTATGAGACCTCAAAGCCACTTCCACAATGACACACTTCCTCCAATAAGACCACTCCTACTCCAAAAGGCCACACCTTCTAAAAGTGCCCTTCCTTTGGGGGGCATTTTCTTTCAGAGCACCACAGAGATGGAGCAAAAGGACATTGGGAGCATCTACAGTGAGGAGAGAAATGGCATGGGTCAGCACAGAAGCCCGTGGAACAGGGTACCCTGGTTCTCTTGAATTTAAAGAACTATGTTTGCCAGTTGAAACCAAAATGTAATGTTACTTGGTATGGTTCTCAATATATGTAGGGGAATATTTAAGCAATTATTTCATAAATGACCTCAAAAGGAAAACTTCTGTGTGCTGTCTGGTTTTATGTCAGCTTGACACAAACTAGAGTCATTTGGAAAGAGAGAACCTTAATTGATAAAATGTTCCTACCAGACTAGCCCATGGGTAAGCCTATGGTACATTTTCTTCATTAGTGATTGATGTGGGAAGACCTAGCCCATTGCGGGTGGTGCCATCCCTGAGCTGGTGGTCCTGGGTTCTATATGAAAGCAGGCTGAGCTATTCTTGAGGAGCAAGCCAGTAAACAGCATCCCTCCATGGCCTCTGCATCATCCTTTGCCTCCAGGTTCCTGCCCTGACTTCCTGGTTGATGAATAGAAATGTAAACCGAAATAAACCTTTTCTTCCCCAAGTTGTTTTTGGTCACAGAGTTTTATCACAGTTGATAGAACCCTAACTAAGACATTATACATTCTTCTAAAGGAAGTCAAGTATCTTTACCTGCTGAGCCATCTTGCCGGTCCAGATTGCTGAAAAATGTTCTGGAAAGCTGCAAGAAAGATGTCAAAGGGGAAACAGAAGAATTAAAAAGAGAATGGACAGAAAACAAATAGTAAAGAGTGAGATACAAGCCCCGACATACTGATGTAGAAGAAACCCAAACTAACAAAATTGTTGTTATAAAGGATTTGCTAATAGATTTACTTAGGAGACATTAAGTCACACAAAGTAGAATTTAGCTAAGGGAGTGCTGGTTCTGAAATATGTCAGAGATAAATAATATGCTAACCAGGCCTGTTAGAGATAAGCAAAAACCTAGGATGCAAATGTTTGCTCACCAGGACTGACCATCCATCAGATGCATCCCCAAAGAACATGCTTCCACCAGGCAGCTCAGAGGGGTAGCTCTGCTTACCTTGAGCATACACTAGGACAGTGAAGAGGAGAGAAGAAAGTCCCCAAAGGAAGCAGCATCCATGCTTGGACACTTTGGTCCCAAGCTTCAGCTTCCTCAGTGTGGGAAACCCTACCAGCCCTTAATACGGCTCCGGCAACAGGAGAAGGCTTATATAGCCCCACACTTTGACATGGCCGTCTTCCGGGAGCCAGCTGAAACTATTCAGTCTTCATAAATAAGCTGCCCATTTTCAGACAGGAGTACACACGGCGGGATTGGATGGTGAAGGTGGTCATGGCGGCGATGACATGTGTACATGTGATGAAGACCGACATGAGAACCTTGCTGCGTCCGGAGAAAACCTCCCAATTAGAATCTACGATTACATCCACATGACTTCTCACCTCCAGTCTGAGCCTGACATTGAGTTTTTGTCTTCTTTTGCTGCCCTGTGGACCCACACCCATT